TATCTTAAAAGATAGGTATAATCTCTAATTAGCCTCTTATATTATCAGTAGCAGCCTTTATACTGTACGGACCCGATTTAGTACATTTGTAATGCCTGCAGCCTGTAGTTATGTTTACTGACTCCTAGGTACTTGGCTGAGACTGGGCTGGAAAGGTTGGTGGGGCACCGGAAGATATATCATGGTGGGGAAGCTGGGGTTAGGGAACGTGTGTAAGTGAGAAGTGGTACAGAGTATGTAGTATACAAGTGAACTGTAACCGGGATCTTCCAAGATTTCCTAGATGTGATAGTTGACGGCAGTCTACGTACCTGGGTTTCCGGCTGAAGTCCATTTACCTTCGGATCAGGGCGAGATCAGCCAGGGAGGGAAACATAGATGTCGATACGTCTACCTAGGTATGATTAGTGGAAATTTATGGCGAGGAGGACCAGTGGATTTTGAAAAGCGATTTCGCAATGTGAAGTACGCACAATGCATGTTGCCGTTTGGGCAAGGACAAGTAACTAATTATAGAGACTTGTAAATAGTCGAGAAGGCTGCAACATTAAGCCAGTCTGGATGTTGACGCCTACCAATCGTGTCGAATAAACATTGGCCATGAGATCTTACCTAGGTATCGAAGCAGCATATACCTGTCCTCCTTGAGTCTACTAAGGTACTTAGGTAAGTACTAAGGTATCGGATAACCCTTGCATACCGTAACTTGGGCACCTAGACTGTCGGCAAAATACCTATTAATGGCCCTGCCAGTCTTTGCAATATTGGCTTGTTCCCCGAACGTGGCTTGCAATAAATTGATGCCTTGCTATTGGGTGGCCGTCGAAGCTATGATATATGATGAGACAAACGATGAAGATGTGCGAACTTCAACTTGAGCAGAAGAGATGAGACCATCCCCGTTACTCATTGACAAGCGCCCCCAAGTCGTGATAGATTCTGGGGTTCCTCAGAGTGAAGCGTTTTGACCACTCATCAAAGGCCTTGCAACTCCATTCTGCTATCTCATAGGATCAGTAACCCCGAATGCTCTGCCGATGCCATGAAGACCTTTTGTCCTTCCAGTTGTTCTATACAACGTCCTATCATATTTGCTAGGTCTATTTATCGTTATGTGCTTACAAGCCACGTCTAGAACAGCTTTAGATAAAGGGTAGGTAGGTAAGTAAGGGCTGCTTATGGTTCGGTAACTGTAAGAAAGGACAAGCATCCGACTCCCTTATGAAATGAGATGGCCTAAAGCAGACAAACAGTATAGCGCTGAAATGTGAAGGCGGAGTTATATATCAATATCTAGGTAGCCGTTGATGGTATATTTGGCAAAGCGATATCACGAATTCACTGCCATTTACGTTAGTGGTTCCATAAAAGACAATTCATGCTATATCAGTTCAGAAGTAATGAGGTACAGGCCGAGAATCACTCCAATCACACTTGACAAAAATGGACAGGTACAGTCTTTGATTTGGGCTCTACGTCCTTTCTCTGGGTAATAAAATAGAGGAAGTCATGATAGACCACGTAAGGAGCAATAATGTCAGTGTCACCACGGCCGGATCATGTTTCACAAGAGAAGTAAGAATATGGGAACAAGAGTCGTCCTACAGGTGCATCAAGACAACGCGCTTTTGAACCCTTTTCCTACCTACATATATTATTCTTTCCATATCATCATGCATGACGATCATTGCAATTTCCATGATCCATCCTCAGACAACACTGGCCCCCTTCACTTCTCGCCTCTGTTTGTAGAAGCACTTCGCGCCGTCGTTGCAGTTCCAGGAGCTACCTTAGCCTTCCGTCGTGTCGGCTGATAAACGTCGTTGAAGTTCATGGCAACACCAAGGAATCTCATATCCACATCTGGCTGATACGCAAGATCACCAAGGAGGATCTGCACACGAGTTCGGAACGATGCACCCAAATGTCGAAGACGCTCTTGTAGAACGGGAAACTCGGAGGCCACGCCACCAGAACCTGTCATCGGTGTGTCAAGGCCATCGTGATCATCGTTGTGTCGTGTGGTACTTCTGACATCGGCTTCCTGACGCTGCGTAAAGTCTGACACGCTCCAGCTGTAAAGTCCGTCAACGGAGTCTCTGTAGCTGAGCATGAACCGCAAGATCTCGCCGAGCTGCATCATATATGTCGTGCGGTCATCTTCGTCAGAGCTGTGCGCACGTCGTTTTGCCCCGAGAAGACCTTTATGAGTGATGTCGTTGAGGTACCGTGTATGCGCCTTGATCAGGTCATCCAAAGTGCAGTCCTCCTTCTGGATCCGTTTTTGTAGTTCGCCCCACGAGGATTCGATGACCTCAAACAAGATGTAGTATTGAAGCTGGCCCACAAAGTGAATCATCTCGGCCAGAACACCGCGTGTTGACTTCCACGTTTGGGAGACGGCAGGGTCGGAGTTCTGAAGAACTCCACGAGCACCTGTCATACACTTCCGCCAGGTCGAGAGTACTGCAAATTCTACTCGCTTGATACGCCAGAGAAAATTGAAGACTTTCAGGTATTGTCTATTCCCCCACTCTGTCACGACAACATCGACAGGTGCATCGATCTTATATTCAAGGGTAAAGCAATCCCATCCGATATCACCATGAGATAGTTGCAGCATGCGGGCATCCAGGCGTCGTAGAACCTCGGGAGAATCATACTGGGCATTTGATCCTCGAATAGCGTGTTCCAATTGCGCCGTTAAAGTATGTCTGTACTGTGCACCAGCTGGACGGTCAAGGTTGGCAGCCAGAGATTCCATCAGGAGTGCAATAAAATCTCCCTGCCCTAGGAGGATGTAGTTCTTCAGCGCCTGAAGATGTTTAAATAAGTGAAACTTGTTGGCCATCAAGTCAATGAGACGCTTCATGGTGGTCTTGTAAGCTTCATCGATCCAAGCTTCCAAGGTAGCTGTGTCGCCATACCTTAACTCTTTGGAAGCAGCTTTAGAGTAATTCTCAACCCACATGGCATCACCGCAGCTATGTCGAATGAAGTTTAGTGACTTGCCGATTAGAAAGACCTTGTGGGCAAAGTCCTGAGTGATGATGCTGGGGATCATGTCTGTAGCGATCTCGAACTTGTCCTCCCAGACATTGCCTGCGCCCTTAGCCTTCGCTTGGTCTTTGTCAGGAGCCTGCTCTCTAACGAAAAATTCCTGGAAAGGATCGGACAGTTCACCGTCATAAATCCAGTGCCGTAAAACGTCGTAAAATGGTCGCGTGAAACTCCTTAATAGTCTCTCTGCGAATGCGGCCACCACAGGATCTCCATGGGAAGAAGAGAAACTATGAATTAGGGAAACAAGCTGACCCCCTCTGTTCTTCTCAGATTCCTCAGCAATGAGGCTCATTAACCTGAGACCCATTGTTGCTTCGCGTGTCCATACTACACATCTTTTGAGTGTGACACCTGTTCTTCCAATACCTTCTCTTGGAGCCTCCTCGTCAAGAGATGCAAGCGCTCTCCGTATCTGAGTCTCAAGAGTTGCTATCAAACTTAGGTATGACTTAAGCTCACCGTGGATAGCAGCTCTCAGGCTTTGGCCTAGAAGCCCTTTTGCAGGAGTCTTGCAAAACCCGTCGAGGCCGCGATACAGCAGCGAAGGCTCAGCCAAAGTGTGAAGTAGGGAAACGATTGGCAAAGGAAGTGTCGCCGGTAATTTGATAAGATCTGATTTTGCGAAAGGTAGATTGGTTGATGATAGTCCCTGGAGAGTAAAGGGAAGATCTCTAAGGATGACCGACTCCGGAGGCTCTATTTCCGAATAATTATTTGCCAGCAAGGTTGATTTCAGTGAAACATCTCTTTTTGCTGGCTCAGGACGTGGATCCCCCTCTTTGCTGGATGGCTTGCTCTCTTGTTGTGTAACTTTCTTGAGTCCTTCTGACTGAAACGCCTCCTTGAATTGCTCCTCCTCAAATCGAGAGGCCCTACTGGTGCGTTCCCGACCTTGCCGTTTGATAGCATCGCGACTGATGGCGTCACGGTAATTGGGCGCCGAAGGCTTCACCGGGCTCAGTGGAAGCGGTTCGCTAGGGTCTGGGGAATCAGCGAGCTGATAAAGGAGGTAGAGTATTGCCCATTTATGTTCCAGCACAGGAAGTGAAAGCAACCGGGTATATAAATTCGAGAAGCGCAGAGCTTGGGAGGGATTGCTCTGTATGAGCTTTCGTTTTATAAGGTCGGAGGCGTGGTTGACATCAGAAGAAATGGCGGGGGAAACTGGGCTAGACCGCGAATAGTGAGTTTTGGCATATTTTTTTCGGGTACCTTTCAGAAAAGGTACTTACCTGTCTAATATAGATTTGACAATTTCGAAGCAAGTATCGTGACGTTCTTGCGCAACATCTTCAGGATCATTGGGATCACTAGGTACGATGTGGGTTATCAGGCTGTCGATAGCGTTGGTGATGCGATCGGGAGCCATGACGGCATCGTCGCGGGCCACTCAAGTGCAGGTATGTGGCTGGTGAACAATACAATTGCAAAAAATCTTTGGTTAGGAGGAATTCAATCAAGAAGCTTCTGCGTGGGCGAAAATTCTGGGTAACTTGTCCAATATCAGCGTGATTGGGATCATGAAGCTCAGACGCGACAGGCGCGACAGACAAAGTTGGTAGTGCGGGATACAGGGCGAGTTGCTTAGTGTCTTTTAGAGGTTGAATGTAGCGGGGACCTGAACACCCTCGACTATTAGGCGACGATTCAAGTACAAAAAACCTTAACGATGCACTGATGTATCCCTGGGCTGGGTGTGCTCGCGGCAAAAAACCAACTACACTCGAAACCATCCATTCACCTTTAACCTCACGTCAACAGCAGACGAGTCGCTCATCAACTTACACGACGCAACATGCCTTTTTCATCAGCTTAATGCCATATAGTGATCGCATCAAAGCCCCCGTTCGTTTCATCCAACTCATGTGTCTTTTTATCGCGCCGCGCCGCGCTATTTTGTCGCACGCGACGCTGTCGCTTATTCAACTCCTATCAAGATGCCAGACATCGACCCCGCGGCTTTGAGCCGTCCATCCGTCAGCCTCTCGACGCCGATTTTATCCAACAAGACACTTGCTGGGTCTATTTCTGGTGCGCCAAAGATAGCAAAGTCAAGTCAGATCATTCCCGCCCGAATTGATCTCGAACCGCTATATACTGTTCTCAAAGCTGCCATTGGCAACGAAAAATGGGCAATATATAAAGAATCAACGACCGAGTTCCTGATAGGTAGATACTACGACATCTATCAAATACACATGCGCAATTACTCACACATCTTCAGGACGCTTGAATCAGACCGAATATTCTGAACGAATAGACCCTATTCTCGCAGGCCCAGGGGACAAGGAACACCTACACAATAATCTCATTGCCGCCATATACGGAAATGTTACTCGAGAGATGCCCGATCAAGGGCTGGCCCCCTGGGTCAGCGCCAACGATAAGCCTGCGGCGACGACAGGGACCAAGCCAGTGTCCGGGGATGCCACGGAGCGGAGATTGAAGGGAGACGTAATGCAACTGCCAACCCGAGATCGCAGGCGCATCAAAGATTTGGTCCAGAACGATGTCAGTGTCTCCATGCTGCCTCCTATCCAACTGCTGACCAGTAACAAGTGGGATCCTCACGAGAGCATATCCAACGTCTTTGCAGACACACGTCGCAAACTTTCTACAGTAACAGATGCCACCCCGACGGTAGGAGGCATAAACAACATGAGTATGTATTCTATCGAAACGCTTTTTTGTGGCCAAGCTTTAACAAAGTGCAAGATTTCGATTTAGAAATTCGAAAACGGTATGCTCAGCCTTTGGCGGTCGAATCAGGCGAGTTTCCTGATATTAATATGATCTCCGGCCGAATGCTACCCTCTTGCTATGAGGCAGGACTGGTCAATGGGCACACAGTGGATGCTCCCCAATTTCTCTCTGTAGCTGTGGAAACTTTTATCAAGGAGGTCCTTACACAGGTCTTCAGCCGCACGCGGAGTAATGGACCTGGTGAATCAGGTAGTGCTGGGTTTGGTGTCGGGACGACATGGATTCAAACGCACAAGTACAAGCGACAGCTGGAATACGAAGAAGAAGCTGCGATGCGAGGCGAAATCTCCAGAGACAAGAGCGGGCTTTTGCCGATTGAATCTAGGGCTGCGAGCGAAAGAGGCCCCTTGGGGATGTCTGATCTTCGCCTTTCCTTAGAGATGGCGGACACAGGCATGGCACAGTTCCCTGTGTTAATGACACAGGTTATGTATGGATACCGGGAAGGGGAGCTGGAGAATTGGGATGACTATACCTGGGTGTATGATCAGCCACCTGAAGCCTACACAGGCGCGAAACATGATTCAGAGGCAAACGGAGGACATGTTTTTGAGCTTGCGAATGGTTACCCTGACGCCATGGATATAGACACGGAAGCATGGTGGGAAGGTGCGGAAAGTCAGGACGCTGATATGCTGGATGGCATATTGGACTCGTGCCTTGCAGCAGGGTCCTGAGACTTGTTTCGTGAAGTTGAAAATCTCGAATTAACTAACGTGGAGGTGGACGGTGGACAGTGGACAACGCAAAACGTCACATCCATGTTGAGTCCAGCTCATCTGCATGCAACAGGGTGAACAAAATCGATACCAGAAGCAAAAGGGATTCAACTCATCTAGCCGGTTTCGCATATATAAAAGCGAAGCCTCATCGTGCGGCTGTGAAAAGCGCAGGCTGGCGTTACAACCAAGAGCGAAAGGAATATGATAATAAGAAAGTACGGGCAAGGCAAATAAGGCGTGCAAGGAGCCGGCGTTTGACGAAGAGAGAGTCGTGATTCAGTACAACAGGCCGGAATCAAGGTTCAGACGAATGCATATAACCGGACGGCTTTATTTTTGGCGCAGGGGTTTTTGGCTGATCTCATTTTTGCTTCTTCATTTGGGTTGCGGTCGAGGGAGACTCGTATTCATGGTGCTCATATTGTATGTATTTCTATTGCTCTGTAGTGCTGAAGGTCACCCCTATACAGCATGCTATCAAGAGGCAACGAAAACTTGCCGTGGATTGGAGTAATGGGGACGTAGGGGAGGCGGTGGGATTTTTGTACTTTTATCCTTACAGAAACGATACCCAGGTAGCTCGATGAGAGTAAAGAATAAACCGCTAAGTACCTACCAATGATGGTAAAGGCCACTGGTTTTGTCGTGTTGGGTTAGGATAGTAGCTGGAGGCCTTCCTATGGTTGGCCAAAGGGATTGAAATCGAATGATGTCAGTGAGTAATCGTAGGGCGAAAAAGATAAGTGTCGTAACATGTTAGTTGGAATCCTTGCTACCGAGCTCATTGGAATGAGAGAGCTTTGTCGGGAAATGCACCCTAATGAACTGGCAGAGCCAACTTCTTTGACTAATAAATTGGCCCCATGATGTTTGCAAAGGACCAAACAAATAAGTGTAGCGTTCCCCGACGAAACTTCTGAGCATGTAGTTATCCCTGCTATGCAATTCTCTCTTGCCCACCTAAGGGGATATAATAAAACCTAGGGCCTCTATTCTAGGTAGGTAGGTAATAAAAGGCTTCAGGTAAAATTAAGTAAGCTTAGTGTAATGTCATATAGATTTATAGAATCTTAGACTACCCGTTGGCTCGAGCCGGGGGGGGGGCTAACTAAGCAAGCTTAGTTGGGCATAAAACCCTGAGACATGTACAAAAGGTGGGATAGAAAGATAAGAGATAATAAATAGAAATATAATTATAAAATAAAGAATAAAATAGTTAAAAATCTATAAAAACTGTTTCTATATATTATAAGCTTTATAGAAAAATTAGAATTTTAATTAATTATTTTATTTTATTATATAAGCCTTTAAATAAAGCTTTTAAAGTAAAAAAGAAA